TTATGGGTCCTTGTAAAGCGAGATGAGTATGTTTCCAGGGAGAAGCTGCAGGCACAAACTTACTCTTACTACCACTACTACTACTACTACTGCTACTACTACTACTACTACTACTATTACTGCTGCTACTACTACTACTACTGCTGCTACTACTACTACTACTACTAGCCGCCCCCCCCCCCTACCAACTACGTTCCCTTAAATATGAGGGGTGGGCTGTCAAGACCCTACGAGGAAGAAGGCAATGGCGGAACGTGCCTCACTCACACAAAATCATCAAAAATGCTGTAAATGCCAATAGCTTTTGCATGTCGCTCATCGAATTGACGTCACTATGCCCCCCCTCCCCCCCTCACTCCCGACCCTACCCCACCCCACCCCACCCCACCCCTCTACTGGCATCCGCACGCATTACGAAAATACAAAGCCTTTTAGCATTCCACGAAAACGAATACTTCCACGGTATTTACATGGTTTCAGTATGCGCAATTTGGGAAACGTAGTTGGTAGGGGGGGGGCGCCTACTACTACTACTACTACTACTAGTATATTGCAAGTATCCTACTAGTCCTGAGCAAGCTTGAAGGCTTAGCCTTAAGACCCGATGCCCCCAGGCCATGCCGATGTGCATTCGCTTTGGGGAACGGCTCCTTGAGGAGCTCCGGGAAGGATGCACACACAGTATCATTTGAGCTACAGTCTAAACTCAAGGGGGATATATAGGGGATTATATAGTGGAGTAGTATAGTGGCTATTAAGGGGGATACTAGGAGTTTAGACTATAGCTCATTTGTATATTGAACGTATAGTAATAATATCGTCCTGTATTTATAGTATAGTGATAGAACAGTAACTTATATTACAGTCACAGACAGGTTATAGTAGCAAAGCAGTGTAGTGCAGAACAGTATAGGTAGTAATTGTAATGATAGCAACGGGCATGGGTAATGCTGGTGATAACGGTAATCATGGTACTGATGGTAGTAGTGCTAATCCTCTGAATACCAGCAATAATGGCAACAATGGTTATAGACACTATATGGGTGGTTGTCAAAATTATGGTCCCTTTCTGGATCCCTATTATAATACGGCACCTGATTTTTAATTAGGGTACCCAAAAAGGGACCATAATTTTGACAACCACCCATATGTTGTTGCATGCCCATTTATGCTTCCAGCTTGCGGCTGACTTGGCTGGAATCGGATTTTCGTTGCTGTGTGTTAGATGATGCCTTCCTCGCTGGTTATATGGGGATTTGCAGGAACTAGGGGCGCCTTCCTGAGACTCTCGCAAAGGGCGATTCCAGTCGTGAGCGATTTCAGTGGGAAGTGCTGCAGGAGCAGCGGGACCCACAGTCGCTTGCAAAATTGGTAGTTCGCCAGGCCAGCGCAAAGCAACAATAATATTAGCTACATGCTTTTTTTTTGGGGAGGGGGGGGGGCTCTACTGGATATTGCCGGCAGGGGGTCTTCAATATCAGGGGAAGGGATTGCTGCAGGTGCCTGAGATGTTGTACGGAGGTGCGCGTGCTTTTTGAAGTCGGTAATTTCAGTCTCACCATGGGAAGCTTGGGGTTATGGAGAGGACTGCTTTTGTGTTGGACAGGTACCCATGTGACAAGGCTTTAAATCTCATCATCCTATCATGTCTGGAAGAGTCAATAAGGGGGTTTCCCAAAGTTAGGTATACCTTTTTTGGGGTCATTATAAGAAGGATTCATAATATACTGGGGTATATATATATACATATATATGGCAAGACTTTTTTCATGCTGGGCCCCTGGGCTCTAGCGGGTTTTCTGGATTCTGGTCTCCTACATATGGGGTTTCCCAAAATTAGGGCTACCATTTTTGGGATAGTATGTTGGGGTCTATATGGGGGTCCCTCTATTTAGGGAAACTACCATACATACAATGAACGCCATCATCAGGATCCCAAACTCGAACCAGCCAACTGACATAGCACCTATCTTACTGGTTCCTAATAGGGAATAATGGAATATATTCTCCATATAATCCCTATATGATATAGTACGATATAGTCCCATATTCCCTACTAAGCCACTAAGCCCCAGTAAGCTACGGCTCCAGCGAGGAGAGTCTTGAAATCCGAGCGCAATCGAGAAAAGGGGAGGTTTCCCCCAAACATTCTGTTCAGGCCTTGCAACACGGACGACATTTTTGTAGAATTGGAAGCGAGAGGGCTTGATTTTGATGATTCGCCCCTTGTAATCCCTTTCCGCATTTAAAAGCGTGTGTGAGCAAATGTGTGAGGCCGTGGAACTAAACGACCTGTCTGCCAGGTGGTGGACGTGCAGCTTGGCTCACCTGACGTTCGCATGCTGCTGGTGGCCAAGGATTGATTTGGCTGCGGCAGATAGCACATCGTATTTTGAAGACTTTCACTTTGGCACCCAGTGCACTTGAGGTGTTAAGGGTCAGGTGCCAGAAATAGCACACATTCGGGTGAAGGATGGCCCTTGAATCCGGGGGAGTAGGTGTTCACACAGCAAGTGCTGATGGGGAATCCGATCATGTGGTGGGCTTTCCAAGGTGCTGCTTGATGATGCCCGGCATGGAATCAGAGGCGGAGGCCTGACCGTGTGCAGCATTGTGCAGCAAAAACGAAATCCATGGCATAGCAAGCTTTGTTTTTGAAGTCATGCATCATCCAAAGCGCAGCAAGCCAGATTGTAGCCTTCGATGAGGAAACCAAACAGTAGATGCCAGGCGCTGGGCATCAAGTCTCGGACGAGAGGGGGCCTGCACGATGTTGATGAAGAGGACGGCAGCGCACCCCAGTCACACCAAAACTTGAAATGAGGTGCCTGTGGCACCTGGCAGGCCAAGAATTTTGCACCTAATCCCCTCCCCATAATATTGAACACTCCCACCCCGCCTAATATCAAATATGCCCAATATATTATAATATACCATAGTGGGATCATAGGGATGCAAAAAATGACTGCAGCCACCTTGTGCAGGAGATCGAGGTGCATGCTTTGATGCAGGAGCTTGTGGAGGGGCAGCGGCCCCTGCATCATCACATCCCCAAGCAACTGTCAGCAAGCGCAAAGTATGTCAACGCTAAACCCTAAACCCTACAACCTAAAAGAGGTACCGGAAAAAAAAAAAACAGGAAAACCACTAAACCCAGAACAGTTTTCGAGATCCCGGGTGCCCAGGGCTGAATCGCGAGTTGCACCCGGCCAGCCCTGGGTGAACCTGGAGGCAGAGCCCAGCTGGTACCTGAGATTTTTGGTGGATGAACATATGTAGAATGATATGTATAATGGTATGTGTACTAGAATGGAGTAGAATATCAGGTTTAGGGTCTAGAGTACTAGAATATAGTACAATATATACATATATATGAATGTAGTAGAACATAGTTTGAGGGGCAAGTTTCAGCTCTTTTCTCCCATTTTATGTCGGGGGGGTCTAAGCACCTTGAGTACACTTGTCACTTGTTTTCCTCGTGTACTCATGAATTCAATGAAGCCTTTTGTCTGAGCGAGTGCCAGCTTGCGATGCTTCTGGACTGTTCAGCGAAGGAACTTCAACGTCTTAAGGTTTCCTCATAACAAAAACTCGTCACAGTTTCTTGAGAGGCACGCAGCTTGAAATCCAGAAGCTCCAAACTCTCCAGCCTAAACCCACAAACCAGAAAGCCCAGAACCATCGATTCAAGTCCAGGTGTCGCTGCCATTGCAGCACAGCGAGCTGCTGCAGCTGCAGAGAAGGCAAGGAACTTCCGGTTCTGAATGAGGTCAGGTTTCAGGATTTGGGCGCTTTGTGTCTCGGGGTTTAGGGGTTTAGGGTTGAGGCGGAAACTTTGGGTTCAGGGGGTTTAACTAGCGCAGACTCGTCCCCCCAGAGATAGTTAACTGCTGTGGCTTTGGGATAAGCTTAGGAACAGGGCTACTGGCACTGCAGCAGGACCCTACACTGATGCGGTTCCTGCACGAGGCTGGGCAAGCTTTTTGTCAAGCTGAAGCACTTGTTTCTGGTTTTTAGTCCGAAGCATATGTTCCGACCCAGCAGCTGGCCCTGTCCGTCAGACCGGTTAGGACCTAGCAGTGTCAACTTCAGAGACTTCTGTTCCCTAGGAAAGCAGCCAACTTGTGCAACTTGTACTCGTCTTGCAAGGGTACTTAACTCACACAAGGAGATCCTCATGACAACGCATGGTTACAAAACT